CTTAGCCTTAGTCAACAGTCACGCCTGACCCCACGAGTGGGGTCGGCGGATTTTGCTGCGTTTTTGTTTGGCAATTTGGTGGGGTTTGGAAGCCTTCAAAATTGATTGGATTTCCAAGGTCCCGGCGTCTACTCTGAAGACCCTCGCTCATGCTGCTGAATCTCAGTTCTTGGGTCAGTCCAAAAAGAAGATTTCTTCTGCAAATGCTTCGAGAGACATACATCGCGGAATCCGACGATGGGGCCTAACTTGGAAGATCCCATACACCACCTTTAAGCACACAGTTGAAGATGAAATTGGTGGCAAACATGTGGAACGGGTGCCATATATATCACCCAAAGATTTTTTTCAGCACTTGGTTCAGAAGACTCCGGACTTGGTGCTTGGGGGTTCACCTGATTTTGAGATTGGCCGGTCCTTCCTGAAATCGTTCTGGGAGAAATATCGATTGTTCCACCCTTCGCACAGAATTTATCATTACTATCCCAATCCAGATGACTGGGCTTGGATTGTGCCAATGTGCTTGCACGGTGATGAGGGGCGAGGCCTCAAAAAAGGGAACACTTGTGTGATAACTCTGGAGCCCAACATTGGCTTGAACACCTATGCTCATGCAGCTGGAAGAAAACGACCAGGCAATGGATGCGGGTGCACTCTTGAGGAACCATGTGCAAAGAGGTTTCGCTTACAGCCGGGAGACCACTACAATAGAGAGCTTTGCAATTGTGATTTTTTGGAATCGAACCTCAAACAGCACAGCTTTCTGACCAAGTTTCTCTTGTGCTGTTTGCCACACAAGGTTTACAAACTTGAAGAGTTGTTGGATGGATTGATCGAGAAAATAGCTGAGGATTTGAGTGACCTGTTCTTCCAGGGAGTCAACTCACAGCATGGTGTCTATCGAGTCGCAGTGACTTGATGGAAAGGAGACCTGAAATGGTTTCAACGCATCTCCTACTTGGAGAGGTGCTTCAACCGGGTCACCGCCATTAATGTAGAGATGTGCCACGAATGTCGGGCTGGAACTCAACAACGCCCGTTCGAAGACATCATCTCCGCCATCCCCGCCTGGTGCGGCACCGAGTTCACAGAGAGGCCATGGTCGGAAGACCCACCTTACCTCTCAATACCCTTCGACCCAGCATGCCCAGAGAAGATCCTAAGAAGGGACATGTTTCATAATCTTCGTTTGGGCTTACTCCGGGACTTCAGTGGATCTTGCATTGTCATGTTGTGCCGAATGAGATATTTTCACGAAGATGGAACTGGACAGAAAAACAACATGCCAGTGTTGCTGAAGCGCGCGCATGCGCAATTTCATTTCTATTGCCGAACTACATCTCAAACAGCTGCTCTGAGGAGCTTTACGAAGGAGTTCCTAAATGCCAAAACGGCGAGCAAGTTTCCCTGGAGCAACTCAAAAGGTAGCGACACTGCCTTGCTGGTGAAGTGGCTTCATGTTTTCACAGGAGGGCTACTGCAGAATCCGCTTGACCAGAATGATGTGGCTCTACTTCGCGCTATGAATGTGGCAGCCCAGCATGCTAACACATGCCAGCAGCAGTACTATTCCCATGGTATTTTTTGGACACGATGCTGCGCAGGTGCATTTCTAAAGTCCATGGAAAAATTCTTGGAAGCATACCATGAGTGTGCGCGCATTTGCTTGAGTGATCTGCGAATGGCTGGTTATGGCATCAAGCCAAAGGCTCACATGCTGAAACACACAGCTGTGGATGTGGCTACTCAGTTAGCTGCTCAGCATGACCGAATTACTTCGCCAATTCTTTGGGAATGCTCGGGCAACGAGGACATGATTGGAAAGGTGTGCAGGCTCTCAAGGAGAGTGAGTGCGAAGCTGACATCACAGCGTGTGATGGATCTTTACCTTATCAAGAGCAAGTTTCTCCACCAACGCTTCATGCAACGTTTTTGGCCGGGGTTGAACATGGAAAAGGGATGATGGAGACACCATTTGCATGAATCACCCATGTGGCAATGCATGTACATGATGAGCCGCTGGTGAAAAAACGTTTTTCAGGGGAAACGACCAAATTTTAGGGAAACGACTAAAAAAACATCAATTTCAACAAACGACTAAAATTTTTCACCAGCGGAAGGTCCAGGATATCATCAATATACTCAATATGATCAATGATACATGTTGCAAACATAGATGTTCATTACATCTGCAATTCAAACTTCAACAGCATCTCAAACCCTTGTGGTTCCAAATCAACTATCAACTATCATCAGCCCACCTACCCCGCACCCCCAAACCCTCAAACCCTCAAACCTTCGGCCGCATGGCGCTGCCGCATTCCATGGTTCCGTCGCTGGGCGCCGCTTTCCCCCACCGCTTGGCATCCCTTGGCAACGTCGGACTCTTGGCCACCTCGGCCTTGTGGCGCCACCGAGCTGGGCGATCGAACGGCCGGTCGCCTGTAGTCGCCCTGTGTGGTCACGAAGATCGCCAGTGGACCGAAGAGTCCATGGGTGAAGCCGCTGGAATGTAGAAAGCTCAAGCCGTCCAAGGCCTCCAGCGCTTCCAGCCGCGGCATCATTGAAAGAGGCGTTTTTGGTTGTTTGGAGGTCGGTTTTAGGTCGGCAAACGTCGGGAAAGAAGAAGTGGTTGAAGCTGCTTTTGCATGTCATCACAAGAAATGAGTCACTTAATACGGATACTGCCAAAGGAACAAGTGTCCAATTCCAAGTCACTCACCAATCTCTTATTTAATATAATCTTCTTTGGGTACTTGACCATACCTAAGTGCAGGGCCATGACATTTTAGCGGAAAAAAGACAAAGTGGGGGCTATTGGCCGTCCGCCTTTGGAACACCTGCTGACTAATCCAGCTGGCCTGGTAGAGTCCCCAGACCGCTGGTGTGTGCTCATCACCTCGAAGAATCAGCCGTGGCAACAACAAAAAGAAACAACGAAAAGGCCTCATTTGAGGCCTCCAAGTCTTTGAGGCCTCGATCTTCGAAACACCCAAGAAACACCCAACACACAAATCATGGCCAGGCAACAAGGCTGTGAAACGGCGTTGTTTGTTTGTTTACCAAGTCGGACGGTGATTGTTTTGGAAACGGGGCCGCGCGGACATCGGCAAATTGTTGTGATAGCGAGGTGAGAAACCAAAAAGAAACGGCACTTTATAGGCGGCGTCCAAATGGTGTCTTTTTCCTCGTCCATGGATTTTGAGCACATGGCAACCCTTGAAACGGCAGGCGTCTTTTCGCTGAAGAATGTCTCCGGCAAAACTCTATAGCCGTTTGAAGATCCAGATATTGTAGATCCGGCGGTCGTGCCGTTCTTGCCTAGATTCGTCCTTTGCTTTGTTCTGAATAAAAAGCCTGGCGCCAGGTTCAGCGTTCCTTGACAACCTCTGAGTGGCGCACCCTCTGCAGGTTTTGCACAGGATAAGGGCACCACCTGAAGTCTTCACCAAGACCCATGAGTGGTGGGGGGGTCGAAGATCTAGTGAAGGAAGGGGAAACTTTCCCAAAAGACCACTGAGCCATGGATATGGCTCAAATATCACGTCCAACATTGAAACCCTTTTGCTATGTTTGCTGATGAATCATTTCTTACTAGCCAACCATTTGCATACCTGCTAAACCTTATAACTTATAAACCCCTTTTGTTGTCCATATTGCTAATTGTTGTCGTTTGGTATGCAAGGACGAGAATTGTTGTCCGGGATGTGTTTCACCGTAATCCCTGAACTTGGTCTGTTTCACAACACTCAAATATATCAATAGTGTTCAGGCTTTCAAAAGGACGATAATTGACAAGATGGATGTAAATGTTGCGAGAACTTGTAAAAAAGCTATCTTTTAGCATCCTGGACTGGGATTGGTATCTATCCAGGGTAGCAAGTACACAAACAGTATCCTTCTTTAAACAAAGGGGCTCCGGCAGAAACTTTTCCCTCAAACAATGTCCATCCTTGCAGCAATCCAATCAGTCCTGATCTTCCAGACCTCGCCTCTACAGTTCTGATGGGAACTCGTCCATGAATCCAGCAACCCGCTTAGAATCCACTTCTCCGAGAGTACCCTCTACATCTTCCCAGCCTTTTGAAATCTTTCTTTCGCCCATGAACCGGCCGGCTGAAATCCGCCGGATTTCGTACCGTGGCCGCTGTTCCAACTGGGGCCTCTTCGGTGACCATGTAGAAGCCCCCTGGAGGCGGCGAACGTCCCGCCCGCCCGACCGCACGTCCCGCATCGCCGGTGGATCCTCAAAGCGGGGGGGGGGTGGCGATGCGAATGCTGATCGAACTGGCCCATTGGCGTTTCAACAAGAAGTTGGTGGATCGTCCATTCTGTAGCAGCATGCTGCGTACGTCGGCTTGCTACAAGGATTCGACAGGACGTCCTGCTTCGGTGTCACTGGAGTTGGTCGTTCGATGGCTCCGATGAAAAACCCACCGATCCGGGAAGGGCATCCGGTCGACCGAAGCTCGTTCTTCAACCGAAGTGATCGGAAATGGTTTCGAACTCTTTCTTCAAAAAAGACCGGCAGATTGCTGACGTAGTTGGCTCGATTGCTGACCTAGGGCGCTTGTTAGGGGTGCCCATCCAGAGCTCCTGAAAGGTTGAGGGGCGTCGTCTACACTCCTAGGCCTCCCTGGGGTCCTGCAGTTTAGCAGTCCAGGAGTGAAAGATGAAGGGATTTTGAGACCTGAGCTCACTTCATCACTTCCCCATCGAGTGTCTGAGCTTCAGTTTTCCCTCCACAGACCACTCTTCCATGTTCTTCCTAGTAAGAACTACATGTCCCTCCCTCCCAATTTTCGTGGTGACGGTTGGGGCGTTGATCTGCCCCAAAATACCTTGAACATTGCTTCGATGATTGAGGAACAGGAGTTCCGAAGGGTGTAACAGTTGATGAAAGGTGTAGATGATCCGGAAGTATCTGCCGAGCCTTCAGTCTCCAAGGAAGTAAAGGATCGCAGAACATTGGGATGCCTTAGGCCAAAAGGGGGTATCCACTGGACCACAATGGAATGAATCTGAAAAAGTGCTGTTTAGAATTCTCCAAGAATGGCCCACATCATGGTCCGTTCACATCAGGCTTCAAGAAGACATGCAGGACTTCCAGATTACTCGCTGTCTTCTGTGCCGCATCGAATATATAGCACTGACTACCTGTGGATTAGCATTCATCGCACCATTCCAGCAAAAACGCGGTCCAGGGCAAAGCAGGAAGTTCTAGATTCCAACTCTAGGTCGAACTTTGCAATGATTGAAACTGATCTGCTTTCAGCAAATGGTTCCAGCTTGACGCGGCCTCAAGGTTTTTGAGACCTGATCTGCATTCTTTGCCGCCGCAATCTGCACGTTCGGCGGCGTTCAGGCGAACGTGCGAGGCGGCCGCAGCATCCAAACAGATCCGTTCCTACGTAACTTACCGAACATCCAGGAACATCTGTTCGCAAAAAAAGGCTGGCTTTTGATGAGTGAGACGATGGATCATGTAAATGGCTACGGCTAAGTTGTGTATTACAAACAAACAAACATTTCAACCAGAATCATGTTTAAAACATTATACCTTTTGGGGGGTGGCGCAACAAAGAGCAGTTTTTTTCGCGCTGAGCAAACCAGTTCCTGAAGCTGAAGACAGCCCCTGCAGGGTCACTGCCAATGATCCTATCGTCAAATCATGTCAAATCCAAATTCATCCAAGACTTCATCGTCTCACCCAGAATCGCCGGTCAGTCCGTGGGCCGACTTCCTCAATGAAGGCATTTGGGTCTTAAGACTCGATCGACATCCCGGCAACCCGGCCTTGGCGGGATCCATGTCCTTCTTGGGACACATGAAGACGGAGACGGCGCTGCCATCGCTCTTCTTTTGCCCTGGAGCTCGAAGTGTGCTCCGGAAGGCGCCATGGGTGACGTGGCGTGGAGTTCCCACATGGTGTCACTATGGTGTCACCAAAGAATGGAATCCTTCAACGAGCTGAAGATCAACTCTTCCTCCACCAGTGGTGAAGAGTTAAATCCATGATGATCCATGCTCATCTACTCAATCTACTCCCAAACACGCGAACTCTGCGATCCGCTCTGGAGATCTCTCTTCACAGTGCCCGGAAGCTCCACTTCTGTGATCTCGGTGGTTCTGAAACCGAAGCTGGTGTTGCTGGCTGAAGTGTCATGATCTCTGGCAGCTAGGCACAAGAAGAACCACACAAAACATCACAAAACCACTTCATTTTCCATCCAGAAGACTGATCCGCCACTCCAGACATGCGACTGCGCACGGCCTTTGTGCAACTCCCAATTCCAAGAGAATGGAAGATCCACCTGAGACCCCGCGAGTCGCCGCGAGGGACGACAAAAGACCACATAGAACATGTGTGCTTTGTTGTTTTTGTTTTCTTTTTTTTGACAACCCCAAATGGTTGGGGGACTTGCGACTTAATTGACAATCATTGGACCATTCACCATGAAATGTTGTCGCCATTCTTCAGCGGATGACACACACACACACACTTATGATTTGGTGTACGGGACTGAATGCCACATGCCACACGCCAGCCTAAGAAACCAAATCCTAAAAAGTCCAGGAGAACCCTATGGAGCCTGGAGGTCTTCAAAAGGAGAAAGGGCCAAAAGCTCAAGACCGAAAGCGACGAGCAGGTCGAGATGACGTCGTACGCTCATGTCTGCCAAGCTCATTAGCACTGTACTGGAAATTGGAGTCAAAGCTTGTTCAAAAGTTCAAACAGCAGGTACGTGCTGGGCCTCCAGTGCCCCCTGCTCAAACAATTCAAAAAGAATCCCTGTGACTACAAGGGGCACACACACTCTGACATTGGTTTGCTGTTAACTCAATTCCCACGATGAGAAGGAAGGTGATGGAACGGTAAGGTGAACGGGTCCGATGACTTGAAATGTTAAACATTGTTGCACTCGCTCTGCGGGCTGCAATGCACAAGCGGCTGAAAGCTGCGGTGGGAAACCTGTTTGTGGGGAAGGTATCATGAAAGAACCATGAAGCAAACCGTGGAAAAGTAGGGTCGCAGCTTGTGGAGAACGAGCAGGTACGTCCAGTTGGCCAAGCTGGATATCCCATTTCACTGGTAGCTTCGTTGGACACAGTCCCAGTGAAATGCTGTGTCCCCCTGCTTGAATCTAAAATGGAAACGACGTTGCCCTTCGGAACAGGGTTTGACACACACACACACACACTTGAGAAGGTTGCTCCGTGGAGCGTGATTTCAGGCTGCTTCGCGGTGTGCATTAGCCCTTTAGGTGAATACTTAGCCCTTGACTTGATTCAACAGAAAGAAGTGCAAAGTCCGCTCACTTGAATGTTTCAACAAAAAGTATTAGTTTAGTGTATATTAAAAATTGCAGGTACATGAGAGTGATCAGCTCTCACTTCCCTCGACACATCATAGCTTCGTTGCGTCAGGTAGATGTGTCGAGCCTGACGCCCCTGCTTCTGTACAGACAAGTTCGTAGGGTAGATTAGAAATAGCTAGAGTAGTGTCCTTGGAAACAGGAGTGGACACACACACACTGAGCCGTATCGGCGCAACTAGATCGGATCAGGTAGGACCTGGATAATAAATAGTGGAAGGGCTTGTCAGTGAAAGGTTCAATACTGTAAATTGTATATCACAGCAGTCTGCGAAAGTGGTCGCACATAGTCTTTTTTCTTGGCCGCAGCGCCGCGGCGCAGTGTGCTGGTTCATGGCCTTTGGCCATATATAGCTGCATCAACTTCTGTGCTGTCGTGTGTGCAAGTTGTTTTGGGTAAGTGTATTTTTGTAATGTGTGGTGGCGTGATTGTAGGCCTGAGAGGCGTAGTCTGTGACTCCCTGCTGACTGCGGATCACGAATCTGCCAGGGATGGGCGGGGAGTTGAAAGGTGACAGTTCTGTTGAGAGGATCAATCAGGAAACCGAGTAGGTGGTCGTCGTCCACTGGCTCTATTTCAACTGGGTGTTCATAAAATTCAGGATGGGCCAAAGTGGTGATGGGGAGTGCTGACCTGTGTTGTTCGTTGAGCAAAATGTATCGGTTGTCCACGTAGCGGGTGTTGAGCAAATGAAGACTGGGTTGGTGCAGGAAGTTGTGGTACGTGGTTTGCCATGTGTGTTCGATGAGTGTGATGGCAACATTGCAAAGTGCTGGTGAGAGCTGACTGCCGATGCCTGCTCCTTGAATTTGTTTGTAGTAGGTGTTGCATGCTTGGAAAATGCATGAGTGAAGGGCTTGTTGCACAATAAGGGGAATGTGTTGTGTGTCAAGTGTGCGTTGCTGTGGGTGGTGGATGTAGTGTCGACCGATGTGTGAGTGTTGGATGAGATTGCCGGTAGACTGAACATCAATGGTGATGGTAGTAGTGTTGTGTTGTGCTTGCCAGCGGCGGCATAGGCTGATGACTGCGTCGACCAGGCGTTGTTGAGGTACACTGTTGAAGAAGCCGACAAGGTCATCGTTGATTGGTGTGAGGTGGATGTCGTCGGGTGTGGTCTGGAAGTGGTTGTGGAGGTGTTGCCAAAGGTTCGGTATGGATAGTTGGCCTGGATGTTGTGGTAGAAGATGAAGGAGCATAATGTCTAATGCTTTGGAGGTGGCTCGTAATAGTGTGCCCGCAATGGATCTGAAATAGCTGATGACTGTTCTACCCTTTCGCCAGGATTTCTTTTGTTTGAGGAAGACTACTCCATGTGGTGTGTAGAATTTTGTGCGGAAGCCCCATGGATATGCTTTGCGAATGCTGGCTGGGAAGGATTGTGTGAGAAATTGGTGGAGTTGTTGGGCCGTGAGATCTGGTAGTGGAGAAAAAGTTGTGGTGTATTCCATGTGGTGAGACATCCGTGGAAGTAATGCTGTGGGCAGAAGAGTCGTAAGTTTTGTAGTTCATGGTCAGCATGATGGAGGACCAGCTTGTCTGTAAGAAACTGTTGAAGCTGTGTGACGTTGCGGGATGTGAAGCGGGGCGTGTATAAAAGGTTGTCGATGTGCTGTTTCCATTGTTGGTGTAGAAAAGGTAGGCTGTGTTGATGCAGGGCAGTGGGTAGACCATGGTGTCGCAGCCAATAAGTGAGTTGTTGTTCAAAGTGTTGGAAATATTGTGTCTTTGTGGGAAAGAAAGTGCTGTTCATGTTGGCTTGGAGGAAAAGCTCAAGATGGCTGGGAAGCTGGAGGTCTTCAAGTGTAAGCACGTAGTGGCCATCATAGAGCGGCGGTGTGTGGTTGGGACGAAGCAAGGTGTGCATGTGGTGGCAGCTGCATGGCATGTCAGCTGCTGTTGGATGTGCTGAGAAGAGTTCTTCCCAACGTTTGTGGTTGTATAGCCGGGATCGCAAAGTCTTGTGCGCTGCTTCACGTAGTTTGGTAGTAGGTGGGTGGAAGGGAATGACGTGATGCATGTGGTGTTGGATCAGTGTGCGAAGCCATTTTTCTGTGGAAGACGAGAAGGTGCTGTGGGAGAGGAAAGGAATGGTAAAGGGTTTGTTGGCTTTGGGTGGAGTGAGATTGCGAAAGCTGAGCGCTGAGTGGAGAAGGTGAAGAACACGTGATCGATCTGGTTCCTCCAAGCTAGCGGCCATTCGACGGAAGGCGTAAATTTCGAGGTCAGTGTATTTGCCGCTGCGGATGGCTGTTGATGTTTGAAAAGATGAAAGTGTATGTTTGCTGAGCTCTCGTAAAACTGTCAGGGCGTGTAAGCGTTGACTTGTGTGAAGGTGAGGTTGTTTAATGGTGTGTTGTCGTCGTCGTAGCCGTTGAAAGAGACGTTTGTGAGTGGACATCCGTGTGAAAGTGGTGCGGTGTTTTGCGAATTGCCAACCTGAGGCTTTGAGTTTGAGGTGTCGTTGGATGTAGGGCCAATTGAGTGTAGGTTGCCATTCTTGGATCCGCAGGTGTTCGTAGGTCCATGCTTGATCATAGGTGTCGTGATGGGAAAGGTAAATGGTGCTGTAGTGGTGGAGGTTGTTCTTGGAGTGCCAGTAGCGTAATGAAAGTTCAGCTGAAATTGGGTGGTTGTTGTGTAATTGTTTGAGTTTTGCGTGACGATTGTATTCTCGCTTGGGAATAGTGATGCTGGTAGAGCCGATGTATGTATGTCCATGTTGGTGGTACTGGTGTCGTGTGTGATGTTGGTTGAAAAAGAGTTTGGCATAGACCGCATTGGGATGCGTGAACATTTGGTAGTGATAGGTGTGTGGTGTAACTTGTAGTTGGTTGAAACGGGAGCGCCAATGTACAGAGTGATGTGTTTGAGAAGGAAAGGCAAAGAGGCATGTAAGGTGAATAAGACTGACAGAAAAATAGCGTGTGACTTGTCAATGTAGGGGGTGAAATGAACAAAGTGTGATAGCGCTGTGTGTAATGTTGTTAAAGATTGGAGGGTGTGATGTGTTGGTTGATGCAGCGCTTGTTGTACGAGTCAGGCTGCCAATGCCGAGCCCGCGGCCACCAGTTGCTGGAGTGAACGCGGGGGAAGCTTGAGGACCCGAGCAAGCGGGATGCCGTAGCGGGTAGCTGCTTCTTGAAGTTGTTCTTTTGTGATATGTTCATCTCGAAGAATTTGCTGGATGTTGGTGACTTGGGTCTGAGTGGCTGGTGGTAATGTCTTGAGCCATTTTTGAATGCCAGCTGCTGCATAGTTGGCTGGTGAGTTGTCATGGAGTGTTTGTGTGGTGGGATTGAGAATGGTGGTGGTTGTGATGGCGGAAGGGGCTGTAAGTGGGAGATGTGGTGGGTGGGCGGCGGATGATGGGGCAGGGTGTGACCCCGGCTTGGTTGGTGTGAGTGCAATGCCATGATTCTTCAACTTGTCGCGAGCGCGCTGAAGTTCGCTCTCCTGCATGTTGTTGCAAGCGATCTGTCTGTTGCTGGAGCTTTCGGAGTGCTGTGCCTTCGCCTGCTGGTGGTGTAAGGCCTCGTAGGAAGTCAATGATGCGAGAGATAAGTGGTTGCGTGAATTGCTTGGAATGGGGTGATCTGCTTGTTGGTGCAAATATTCAGCGATGTTGTCGATGTCCAGGTTGTGGGCCCTCATCTCCGGCAGCAATTGTGAAGTGAAGACTGCTTCCGCGATAGATCTGGTGGTGACAATGCCTGTGTAGCGTCCTTGGGATAGGATGCGTAGGCTGTGGTCCTGGAGGCCAAAACGGCTGAGCTGCCATGGAAAGATGTCGAGGACTTGTTGTCCTGCGAGGTTGTATTTCCTGGACCATTGCGTCGGCTGAATCGTCCGAAACAATGTGTGACCATGTACAGTATTTGTATCCAAATGTGTGTCGCTGGGAGTCCATGTGTCTGGTAGGTTGGGGATGTTGGGG